AAATGATCATGAATAATGGACATTACATAAATAACAAGAACGATGACAGTTGTTTGGTTAGTTTTGAAAAAGGTTGAAAAAATTGACGAGGACCGTTCTCGAGATATCATTTGGAAGCGCAAGTTTTATCTGAAGTATAACCCAATCAGTCGAGGGTAATGCGAGTCTCCCTCGACGAGCGTTATTTTATGATACAAACAAACGGAATTTGTTGCTGAAAAGCAACAAATATTACTGTCAACGATTGTGTTAAGAATGATTATTCTATCAAAAGTTATCAAAAGGTACATGAATTCACACATTGTTTCCTGGTCATGACATAAATGAGAACGCGACCAACAAAATTCATTTCTCAACTCGAATCATATACGAATAGTTCAAACAGTCATATCAGAATATCACTGCAATAAAAAATGACCGTGGACATTAGGATTTCAACAAAATTGTACTGGTTACCCGAAAAAGATTATGCAGTCTTGGAAATATTTTTTATAATACAAATCTAAAAAGTAAGCTGATCTATATTTATATGAAATGATGCCAGTAAAAGAAATCAGTGAACAGAAACTTAGTATTTTGAATGTTTATTTTATAGAAGTTGTAAACTATTGATTAATTGTGTTTTTCCATTCGTCCACTGTAATTACATCTGCTTGACGAGGAAAGATTTTGGTACATAGTACACGATGTACTTCATCGTCTGTATCGGCGCAGCAATCCGATAAAACAGCAATCTGGTAATCTTTATCAGCTGCTTCACGTACAGTTGATAGTACAACACCACTCGTAGAAATACCAGTAAGCACAACCTGCTGAATATTCTTTGCTCGTAGGATTACTTCGAGATCACTACCGGTAAATGCACTGAATCGTCGTTTAACCACTGTAATATCGTTAGGTTGTGGTGCTAATGCAGTTTCAATCTTCATGAATTCATTCATGTCCACATTAGCAAACCTTTCTTTACTTGCCGTAAATGCTTTATTATTATTACTAATTTCCGGCATGTTAGATCTAAATCCAACTACTACATAAATAATTGGTATTTTGTTGTCCCGTGCAGTGGTTATCGCTTTAACTGTATTATTGATAAGTGATGTAGCATCTGGAAGATTACGTAATATTCCAGCTTGCATATCCATTACTAAAAGTGCAGCGTTTTTTATAATTTGTGCCATTTTCTTTGTTTTTATAATATGTAGTTTAATTGATGATTTGCTCCTAGTCTTCGTATTAAGTTTATTCGTACTTAGAAATCTAGAAAATATAAGTGCAAAGATTAGAGTTATTACGTATGTTTTGACGAAATGATACATCCCATATTCATAACTCAAAATACAAAAATAAACATATTGTATTTTATCTAATAAATTTTTCATCTTTTAGTATGGTGATCAACTAAGACACTCCCTGTCTCAGCAGAAAAATAGTCGCAATAGACGTTTTTTTCACTTTTCTTTCACCCATACCTCTCATTTATGAAGAAATATTTCTCTCTTCGACCACTTTTTCTTTCTTTTCTCTCGCTTGCATCGACGTATTCTACACCACGTTTTCTTTCTTTCTCTGTGCTACATTTGAAAGCATGCAGTTAGTAACACAAATATTACGCATAAAAGAATGTCAGTTCAGTGAGAAAATATACTTTGTGACATATTCTAAAGGGTAGCTAGTAAATGAAGTTTGACGTATGTTGCAAATCTTAACTACATGGAAATTATTAGTGCAAGTCAAGGGGGAACAAACTGATTTCTTGATTTCTAATTTTTGTTTGATGATTTCTAGTGATTTCCAGTAGTCAAAAACGTAAAATATCTTTATGCTCGATTCGTTTGAATACGCGTTTTGATTTTATTTTCACCGGCTCCAAGTGGAACTTGATGAGCAAAATCTCCTGAATCACATGGAGTCAGTAGAATCACGTTAGAATCTGCAGAATCGGGTGGGATCGCGTGGAATCTCAGAATCATCTGTTTTCCCTGTCGAAGAAATCGCAATAAACTATAAACCTATTTAATGAAAATGTCGAAAATTGAACAAACAGCAAAAGTTAATCGAGATCAATAAAAATCTGCATTTCGTTTTTTTATTTAGTTATCAGTCATTTTATCATAACTTCATACATATTTCATTGATTTCCAAGCGACTTTAGCTGTTTTTAATGATTTCTAATTTTCTGTAACTCTTTTCCAGTTGTATTCTGTATTTTTGCTATAAAATGGCGATTTCTATTAATTTCTCGTCTGAAAATTACTTTGATCCCTCGTGGTATAATTATTCTAACTTCTACTTTTTTCTTTTTGTCACAATTGTTAGCTTATTTCTCCTGCGAAAGACTCCTGCACACTAGACACTAGTAAGCGGGACGAATTTGATAATAAGCTTGAGATCTATAATAGCTTGGTTAGTTACGTTTGATCGTACTTTCGTTATGGTGTTGAAGATTACTTCAATAAAGTCTTCACCGAAGACGAACTTTTATTCCCTCGACTGAAAGGAGGGTCATGCAAAAAAAAATAGTTTGTCTGTCTGTCTGTGTCAGGGTCAAGGGTCAAAGGTCAAAAAAACATTTTTTCGAAAATGCTCAAAACTGCATAAAACATCGTTTGCGAGGATTAATATAGACGATG